ATAAATATCTGGCTGACTGTGCGATTAATAATAATAATAATAAAAACAACCACCTTTATTGTCATTGGGCATATATACAACAAAATTCATTTTTGCTTCTGCTGCTGTTATCCACAACAAAAGTACAATACAATGTGAACACTACAGAAAGTGGTTGTTATACAAATAATTAAGGGAGAAACCAATCACGTTTCCATGAATGCGTGGAGTGATGGCAATTGTATTTAGGAGCCTCCAAGTGAGGGAGCACCCATGATTTCTAGTGGCAAGCTGTTCCACTGGTTCGTTGTCCTCACTGTTAGGAACTTTCTCCTCAATTCCAGGAAAAGGGGTTCATTCTGTAGGACCCATTGACGTCCGTATAAAATCAATCCCTGTCGCTGCTCGTTGATTTTTCTGCCAGTGAATCCATTGTCTCCCAATTTATTTATTCGTTTATCACGAAGCGAATAAATATTGCTAGTTTTTCCCGTATTAAACATTTTGTCATGCCCCTGGTGGAGACTGAGGGAGAGGAGGAACAGCTGACAGGGAGTGGAGATGTGGCTCCAGAGGTTGTGGCAGTCAGAGGAGGACCCGAGCCCAGCCCCTCTCCATCCTAGGGCACGCAGGGAGGAGAGGATAAGGGAGAGATGTGGTCTACTCGGGAGGAGAGGGCCTTGATCCTCTTCATGGGTTGCAGCTGTGACAACTGGATAAGAGGACGGACATGCGTATGGGACGAGCACTGGAAACAAAGCGTGGAAATATCTCTATGGTTCCTCTCTTGAGTTTGGCGTCCTTCCCAGTGTGTGTCCTGTTATCTGTGGACGTCCTCCAGCCCTTATCTTGCCTGGTTTCTGTTGCTTTTTTCCCCTCCTTCTTGTTACTGTTTGTGGGGGAGTTTTTTGTCTCCCGTCAAGGATATTCGGAGCTTGGAAGCAAAGGGAAGGAATAAAAGGGGCTTCACCTGTTTTCTGTGACTGTGTTTGTTTTGTATCCCACCCTGGGTCATCAGACATTTGTGGAAGGGCTGGGCCGTCACCCCTTCTTCCTCCCCGTGCCCCATTTTCTCTGCTCTCAGGTGGGGCCCCTATCTCACACCCAGGAACTTTGTAAAAAGCCTTGGTTGTGACCGGCCTTGAAAACAAGACAGAGATAAATGAATGAATGAACAGACAAAGAGATAAAAACAAGAGGCGCCAAACTGGGGAGTGTTTGAATGAGTGATGCATTTCGGAATAATTGCGAAATGGCGACCACTGAGGTGCCTGGCTTCACCTAGGATCCGAGCCCAACTTAAGATGGTCTTGGTTTATTTGGGATCCTCTTGACAGTCTGAGTGGAGGCTGGTTTCACTCCCCAAAAAGAAAATTCTGCATTTTGAAAAAATGCTCAGTTGGGTTTTTCTCTTGTTAATATTTTAATTGCTGTACATCTAATTCTTGGGAAGCCAGGTACGTCCTGCCCACCTGGACCTGGATTGTTCCCCTCCTGAGTTTTCCTACCTCTTCATTTCTCCTGCCATTCCTTCTTCGGGTCTCCGTTTTACTTGAACAGTATATTCAGCTAGTCCTCGTTTTAGCGACCCTTCGCTGTCACGGCGGGGATTAAAAACGTGACCTCGGGACCAAACCTTGCTTTGAATTCCGCTGTAAATCGAAGGAAATTTGGAAGCACGGTTACGGTTTCGCCTCGTGGCTGCTTCAACTCACAACAGTTCATTTAGTGACTGTTCAAAGCTAACGGCACTGAAAAAAAGAGACTTGGGACTGCGTGTCATACTTAACAACCGTTGTTACTAGCTGAACAACCGCTGTAAGCAAGGTTGTGAAGCCTCAGTTAAGAAATGCCTCACTTAGCAACATGGGGCTCTGTCGCGGTTGTAAGGTTGAGGACTTCCTGCAAGGGCTTTGCGGTCGGGGAGGACCGGCTGAAATCGTGGAGGGAGGGGGGGGTCACGTCCTGAGTGAGGGAAAGCCCTGTGATTGACAGCTGACCTGGGATACCCTCCTCGTTCTCTAGATATGGCCAACCTCTCGCTGAACGACAATGACGGATCCAGCGGGGCCTCGGACCAGGACACGCTCGCGCCTCTGCCTCTTCCAGGGGCCACCCCTTGGCCACTGATGCCAACCTTTCCCTACCAGTACCCGGCCCCCCACCCGTACAGCCCCCAGCCTCCGCCCTACCACGAGCTCTCCTCGTACAGCTATGGGGTGGGAAGCGCCGGCAGCCAGCAGAGCGAAGGTAGGTGGGGCAACTCTGGGAGTGGGAACTCGGCCGGCTGGGGAAAATGGGCTCTGGGGGGGAGGGGGGGGGGGGGGGTATAGCTAAGTCCTCACTCTATGACTATAAGCGAGTCCGCCCAAAAGTCGGGATGGTTGTAAAGGAAGTCATTCCGCGACCGGCCTAATTTTATGACTCTTTTTCTACAGAGGTCGCTAAGCAAGATCTTTTAAGTGGATCTGCAGTCATTAAACCCTTTCATTGTTTGCGGGGAGGAGAGATTTTCAAAATTCGGACGCTCGGCAACTGACTCGTACTTACGACAGTTGCAGTGTTCCTGGGGGTGTGTGTGAGAGAGAGAGACGCAATCCCCTTTTGGAGACCCCACTCCATGGGGAAGCCAGATTCACTGAACAGCCGTGATGCTGACTTTTACCCGCTTAACGACCATGAGGAGAAAGGTCATAAAACAGGGCAAAAGTCACTTTAACAGCAGTCTTTTTAATGATCAGTAAATGTTGGGTTAAAATTGAGGATTCCTGGTATAAATTTTACTCTCTTTTGGGGTGTTTCTTCTTGTGGAATTCCTTCTCCTGCTTAATCGTGGGAGCATTTTCTCTTTTCTTTGTTGCCTCTGTCGTCAATATCTCTGTTTTAAGTCCTTTTATGTCTTTTATTTTATTTATTTTTATTATGATTATTTTTTATTTGTTTTTATTATATTTTTATTTTATTTATTTTTATGTCTTTTTATTTATTTTATGTCTTTTTATTTATTTTATGTCTTTTTTTTACATCCTTTTATGTTTTATGCCCTTGTTCTCCAGATTCCTCTGGGCTGCTTTCTTTCTCGTTTAACTCTTCCTCTCTGGGCTGTTTCCATTGTTCCTCCATGAACCGCAACGCCATTAACTTTGCCAACAAATACATCCAATAGTTTCATTCCTTTTAATATTCCTCTCACAGTTTGCAGTTCCGAATTCAATTCTTTGCTTATTTCTTCCGTTTCTTTAATCTGTTGGGAGTTTTTCTTTATTTTATTAAAAGTCCAGTTTTTCTCTTATGGTCCTTGCCAAAAAAAGTCTCTGTTTATCCCCATTTCTCTTTCTCCGGTTTTCTTGTTGCAGTCAACACCAAACAGTCCCCGAATATTACATTCATTTATACTTTGCTGCAAACCCCAATTTTTTTTTTAAGACTTGTTACGCTAGTAATCTTTTATTTCATTTCTTTTCTCTTTCACGTATTTATTTATATGACCAGTAATTTTCCATGAAAACATAAAAGAGGCAATATCTTTAACCGTTAGATAGTGCTCTATATCGCTTCCACTTTTCAAAGTTCTTTTTTTTTTTTTTAATTCTCTTTTCGGTTGTTTTAAATTCAATTTTATCCATTCCAGGTAAGTCCAGCATTTTATCCAGTGCCTAATTAGCGCCCAATTCTGTAGATTATTCTCTGGTATAAATTTTAATTCATAATTCAAAAACCGACACCATTTTGGCTTTCTTGCCTTGCAGGCAGCCGCAGCAGTGGCTCGAACCGCAGCGACGGAGGCGGAGGTGGTGGCAGCGGGGGCGGCCGGGGGACCGGGCGTCCCAAGGAGGAGAAGCCAGGGCCGGAGTCGAAATCCGGCAGTGGCAGTGAGTCAGAATACTCCATCCGCAGCAGCAGCCAGCGTGGCGGGTGTGCGGCGTTGATGCCGGGTGGGGAGGCCTCCTCACAGCGCAGCCAGCACAGCCTGGGGGGTGTCAGCGTGCGTTCCCACCCCTCCCTCCAAAGTGCCTATGCGGCCCCCGGGGGGATGCCCCTGGCTTACAAACCGATGATGGTGATGATGGTGCCTCCGCCGCCGCCGCCTCCTCTTCCTCCCCCCACTGTACAGCCTCCGGGCGCCCCTCCGGTGCGCGACCTGGGCTCGGTGCCCCCCGAGCTGACGGCCAGCCGCCAGTCCTTCCACATGGCCATGGGGAACCCCAGCGAGTTCTTTGTGGATGTGATGTGACGGGGGGAGGGGGAAGGGGGCACCACTTCCAACCCCCCACCCCAACTGTTCCCACCCAAAACCAGCTGAGAGGTCCAGCCTCTTCATTTAGGGGGTCCTTCGCCCCCAAGGATGGACCAAACCTTCTCAATCCCAGATTCACCAGCTGACCCTTTGCCCTGAACGAGCTGTTCACAGCCCTGAGTCGATCCCTGTGGGCCGCAAGTCGATCACTCCGGGTCACGAGTCAATCCCTCCGGGCCACTCACCAATCCCTCTGGACCGTGGGTTGATCCCTCCAGGCCATGAGTCATTCCCTCCTGGCTACAAGTCGATCTCTCCGGGCCGCGAGTTGATCCATCCAGGCCATGAGTTGTTCCTTCTGGGCCACAAGTCAATCCCTCTGGGCCATTCACCAATCCCTACAGGGCATGAGTTGATCGCTCCAGGCCACGAGTTGATCCTTCCGGGCCATTCACCAATTCCTCCAGGCCACAAGTCGATCCCTCCAGGCCGAAATTCACTTTCCTACCTATCACTCGTGCCTTCCGCTCCGGGGCTTGTTGGCCAAGCTGCTTTTTTAGGACCGAGGCCCGACTCAGGTCTTGCTCCGTTCATGTTTTCGTGCCTTGCTATGCTGAGCCAGGGAGGCTCAGCGTTCTCTGACCAGCCTTGCAAAAAAAAAAAAAAAATCACCTCGTCTTCCTTGGGGGGGAGGGAGTGCCGAATCCACCTCCGTCCGTCATCCGAATATCTTTTCCCCCCCCCCTCGTTTCCGAGATTTGGCGACTTGTGTGCTTCCTTTTTCCTTCCCTTCCTTTGGGTGGTTTGCAGGAAGGGGTGGGGGGTGTTGCTTCCTGCTTCTCTATGGGGCCGTGGTCAAAAAAAAGCCAAAATGGCCACCGCAAAGGTACGCTCCCCGTTCCAGACCTTGGCCCTGCAGCTGCCTCGTCTCGACGGTACTTTTCCCGGCCTTCTTCTCCAGAGGGTCTCCAAGCCGGTAACAATGAAGGGGTCGTTTTGTTGTTGTTGTTGTTGTTGTTGTTCTGTGTTTGTTTTTTGTTTTTTTTAATAGATCGTTTTTAATTCACATTTTGGGGGCAGTTAATTCCTCTTCCTTTAAACTTGTATTAGGGGCATCTTGTCCCCAGTTATATTTTTTAACACTACAGCCAGGCCTGTTTTTGAAAAGCTGGAGGGGGGGGGGCTTATTTCTTTCCTAACTTCATTTTGATCCCCCTGTTTGTATTTTTTTTGGGGGGGGGGGTATCCCCCCCCCTCCAAATGCCACCTTGGGGGCCTGATTTCCTAGGTTGCTTTGTGGATGTCCCTCCTCGTCTTTTCTCCTAAGGAGCTTTGTGGGTGAAGGAAGAACCCCAGAAAAGTTACAGATGAGTGAACTGGGGGTAGATTATTCGGGGGGGGGGCTTTAAGCAGCACCCCCTATGTCACGGAGAGGCCTCTGGATACCCCCACTTCCTGCCCCACTTCCTTCTTCAAATGCAAGCGGTAGGAAGTGGGGCTGGTTTTGTGCCTGTCCCTTCTTCCCCCCCCCCCCAAAAAACAACCTGCCCCCAATCCCCTTTTCTTCCCCCCCCCCCCCCCCAAAAAATCAGGGTGCAAACTCTGTCTACAATGGTGTTACTTTGCCCCTTGCGCCCCCCCCCCCCCGGCCTTTTCTCTCCAGCTTGCAAGACAGGGTGGACTTCAACTCCCAGAATTCCCTAGCCAGCAAAGGATTTCCCAGCATTCACCCTGGGTAGAACAGAGGTGGCTAAAATACCTTTAGCAATTTTTTTGGGTGGGGGTGGTGGGGTAACTTCCTTAATAGATGGCGGGAATGCGGTAGACGTAATATATCTCGATTTCGGCAAAGTGAAAAACAATTACTCAGTTTCTAAATGGACGGCGGGAATGCAGTTAAAGACGTAATATATCTTGATTTCTGTGGGATTCAAAGACCGGCCATTTCAGCGACCGCCTGGGCGGCGTTTATGGCCTTTTATATGACTTTTTACACAAAACGAAAGGCAGCAGACATTTCCGCGCTGGGACTGGAGAGCAGATGCAGCCTTGGTGAAACTTTTAACCCCTCCTTGAGGAATAATAATGATCTCAGAAGGTGAAGAAATCCTCTATCGCTGCTCGTGACAACGGTGTCACATCTGGTTGATAAGTCCAAGGTGATCTAATTGCTAGCCAGCCCAGAGGGAGATAAGGGGAAGAGGCCCATGTAGGAAATGTAGCGCAGTTTGCTGCTGCTACTAGCACCATCTGCAGGAATTTTCTTGCCACTACAGATTTCGGCAAAGTGGGGTGGGGATAAAATAACCCCCGATGAACTAAATGAAAAAGCCGGTTAAATGTGTGTTTGAACGGCAGGACAATTTAAACGGAAGGTTGATATGCCGGCTGGAGAATGGTGGGAGTTGAAGCCCACCCATCTTCCAGCAGACAAGGACTCTAACCCAATATTTCTCAACTTTGTCTCCTGGGTGGACTTCAACTCCCACAATTCTCCAGCCGGCATGTCAATCTTCCGTTAAATTGTCCTGCCGTCCAGTCCAGATTTAACTAGGTTATTCATTTAGTTTGCTTTCCCCCACTTTGCCTGAATCAAGATTTATTACGTCTTTAACTGCATTCCCGCCGTCTATTAAGAAAACTAACTTCTCCAGTAAAAATAAGTTACAAAGGAGTTGAAATCCACCCATCTTCAGGTACCAAAAATCGAGAAACCCAGCAACAGACCTCCCTGTTGAGACGGCCGCCCCATCCGGGACCCCACCTCAGAGGTGGAGGACTACAAACTCCATCGTCCCCTGCTCCGGGGAGTGGGGAGTGGGGTATCACAGTCTGATGGCTCTTGGGAAGCCTCGGGCTGGGAACGTCCGTCCTCAGCATCAGACCCCGACTATTTAGCTCTCCTGTATCACTCGGGGGTCTTGTGCACACGCGTGATGGGGCGTGTTTTGTGTGACCCATTAGCAGATCACCTTTTTTTTTTTATAAGGACATATTTATTTTTTAGCTCTTTTGTGTACAAAAAAGCCTTCAATTAAAACAATAAAAAAAAGTTAAAAGCCAAAGGCTGTGCAGCTGTGTGTGTTTTGTAAAATATATATATATATATATGTGTGTGTGTGTGTGTGTGTGTAAAATATGTGTGGGGAATCTGGTTTTTGAGCTCATCCGAATGTGCCAATCTTGTGACTTTTAAATATGTTTTATTTATTTTTTAATTTCAAATGTTAATAATTTTTTTAAATTTGAATTTTTTAAAAAAATGTTTTATACAGATGGTCCTCGACTTAGTTGAAACCCCCCCCCCCCCAAAAAATTTCCATCGCTAAACAAGACGGTTACGTTTTGCTCCCGTTTTATGGCTTTTCTGGCCACTGTTAAGTGAAATCACTGCCATTGTTCAGTCAGTGACTCAGTCGTTAAGCGAATCCTGATTTTCCCCCCCCCCCCCTGACCTTGTGCATCCGAAGTTCACAAAAGGGGAATCCCCCAATCCCCTCAGGGTGCTGTGACCGTCGTAAATGTGAGTCGGTTTTCAAGCGTCTGGATTTTGGACCCACAAGGGATTGTTGTAAAAGTCGTAAGTGCGAAGCACGGATCATAAGTCACTTTTTCAGGGCTGTGTTGGTAACTTTGGACACTAAACGAATGGCCGTAAGTTGAGAACTGCCTATAAAGGAAGGTACTAAGACAAGACTTCAACTCCCAGAATTCCCCAGCCAACCAAGCTGGCTGGGGATTTCTGGGAGTTGAAGTCCACCCCTTCAAGCAACTGAAATTGAATTCTGGGAGTTGAAGTCCATTTCCCCCCCCTCATCAGAAACTGCCCAAGTTGGAGGGGTGGGAACCATGCAATCAACAATCACACAATTAACAGAACAAAAGAGATTGTGTAGTTTGTGTTGTTCTAGTCCTCAAAAGTTTTAACTTCTGAACTTTTAAAATCCAAATAATGGAAGTGGGCGGGGGGTCCCAATTTTGCTAAGGACGTTCCAAGAGAGGTTGCAGAGTCAAGGACAAAAGGACTACCTGGAAAGGGGGTGGGGGGAGGTTTGCACGCACCCCCCACCCACCCCCAGGAATCTGAGTCGGGAGGAAAACAAGGTTTAAAAATAGCCGTTCCCCCCCCCCCCAAGGAATCCAGTTGGACTCTGCCAGACCCCTTCCCCCTCTCTGGCGGGGGAGGGAGGGAGGGACACTCTGTACATGCTCAGGGGCACGAGTCTTCTACTCTGCAAGCCTCCTTCCCTTGCAAGTTCTAACAGGAAGGGGATCGCTGCCTGGAAGGTGGGTGGGTGGGGGGTTGTCGCTCTGTACATGCTCAGGGGTATTGCCTTGCCCCTGAGGGAAGGGGATTGTTCTCTTCATGCTCAAGGACACAAACCCCGAGGGGAAAGGGTCCATTCTCTGAAAGGCGGGGCACTCTGTACATGCTCAAGGGCACCACCTTCCTCTTTGCAAGCCGTCCCCTCCTTGCAAGCTCCGGTTGAAGTGACTCTGCCCCCTCCCCATTCCTCGCAGCGGGGGTGGGGAAGGGGCGCTTTGTACATACGCTGGTGCACCACCTTGCAAGCCCCCAAGGGGAAAGGGATCATTCCCTGGAAGGTGGGGCACTCTGCACATGTTCAGGGGCACCGCCTTCCTCAAGCCGCTTCTCCTTGCAAGCTCTAATCATAGGAAGTGGATCGCTGCCCGAGAGAGGGGGGAGGGCGCTCTGTACATGCTCAGGGGCACCACCGTGCAAGCCCCCAAGGGGAAAGGGGTTATTCTCCCCGAGGGGAAGTGCTCTGTACATGCTCAGAGGCACCGCCTTTCCTTGCAAGCTCTAATCGGAAAAAGATCGCTGCCCGGAAAGCGGGGGTTGGGCGGGTGGGAGGTCGCTCTGTACATGCTCAAGGGCACCACCTTGCAAGCCCCCAAGGGGAAAGGGGTTATTATTCTCCCCGAGGGGAAGTGCTCTGTACATGCTCAGGGGCACGAGCCTTGCAAGCTCCCCTCCCCTCCCCAAGGGGTTGAAGAAACGCATCGTCCCTTCTGGAAGGAGCGCTCTGTACATGCTCTTCCACTGGCAAAGAAGCTGGGGGGGGGGGGAGAAACCCACTGCGCATGAGCAGCCACGTCTACAGCGCGCGAGCAAACTCCAACTCCCAGCATACTCCGCTCTTGCTCCTCCCCCTCCTCTGACGTAAACGGGGGCGGGGCGGACCGAGCAAGCGGAACGAAGGCAGCAGCAGCAGCGAACAGCAGCCCGCCAGCCAGATCCTCTGCGACCCTCTACCCAATTGCTGCAGCCCCCTCCCCAAGCTATGGCAGCCCTCCGCCTGTCCCCTCGCCTCTTCCAGGGGCTGGGCGCCCTGCGGGGGTGAGTAGGTGGAGGGGAGGAGGGGCTGGGAGGGGAGGGGGACCTAGAGACGCCCCCCTCCCCATTTCAAGAAGAGATCGGACTGCATTGGTCAGAAATGGTCTAGGGTCACCTGCTTGGGCGGGGGGCGGGCGGGGGGGTTGGACTAGATGACCTCCAAGGTCCCTTCTCAACTCTGATTATCTGTTATCTGTTATTTCATTGCAACCCCCTCCCCACTTGCAGTCCCGGCTGCCCCCCGGTGGTGGCACCGCTGGCAGGGAGACTCTACGCCGCCCAAGCGGCCGCCCAGGTAATTGTGGGGAAGGGGCTTTCCGGCTATAGCCACGGTTGGGTTGGGAAAAGGGGGTGGGGGGACTTGGAAGGATCCCCTCTTATCAGTAGCCTCGGGGCTCCCCCAGCAGCCCAACTGGCCTCCATGAGGACTAGAAGCTTGAGCCTCCAGCCAGGTAATTGGGGGGAAGGGGCTTTCCGCTGGGCTCAGGGCCAGGTTGGGAAAAGTGGGTGGGGGGCTTGGAAGGGCCTCGGGCTCCCACAGCAGCCCAACTGGCCTCCATGAGGACTAGAAGCTTGAGCCTCCGCGATCCTGGCAAGCTGGCTGGCACGTGCCTTGCTTGCACCCGGAGTGGATGCATTGCAAACGTGCCCTGCATTGCTAAGCCCCCACCCCACGGGGGGGGGGGGCTTTTGATTGTGGGTCTGGGGTCCACACACTCACACACTCACACACACACACCAGTTGAAGCCGACCCGGGCTGACCCAGCTTGGAGTCCTTTGGAAGGGCAGCTGCACGCGTCATCCCAGGGAATATTTTGGAGGCGCTGGATCTGGGGGAAAGGGGAAGGGGCCGGCCTTGTGGGTGGGGGGCGAGGTTGGGCCAGCCCCGCCCTCCCCTTCAGCTGGGAATGCCCGATGCCTCAGAAGAGACCCCCACACACACAAGGGCACCCCAGAAATGGAGGGAAGGAAGGAACGGAAAAGTTTGCGCTCCAGTCACTTGTCTGCTCCTTCCCTTCTTTCTTTTTATCTTCCTTGCCTTTTTCTCGTTCCCTCCCTCTCTTTTCCTGCCTTCCTTTTTTCCCTCCTTCCTTCCTCCCTTCTTGCTTTTCTCTCTCTCCTTTTCCTTCCTCCCTCTCTTTTCCTTCCTTTTTTCCTTCCTCTCTTCCTCCCTCCCTCCTTCTCTTTTCCTTCCTCCCTTTTTTCCCTCCCTCCCTCCCTCCCTCCC